CAGAAGGGGAGTCACCCTGCGGGCGACTGTAGAAATGCTGGTGGCTTCTCTTTGCTCTTTTCCTGTTGTTTTTAGCAGTAGCCATTTTTTGCATTGTCCTTTACCCGTGTTTACCTTTGATTGTTATGCTCTATTGATGGATAACTTTGATAATTTTGTGCTGATGATTTGCTCACTTTTCTCATGTTGCTGTTATTTTAGGAGTCTGTGCTCTCTCACGCATTGCCCTGTGATACCTTGTGTGTAAATAATTTATTAAAAAAAATAAAAAATGGAGACAATGCCAAATGACATACAGTAAAGTTCAGAGATGATTACTGGAAATAATTCATGCTCTCATTCTTGCAGGTGGTAATGTGACCCTGACAGACCTTCCACATACTCTTCCACAGATTGAGAAAAATGCGTCTGCCAATGTCCCCAATGGTCATCCACTTAAGGTGTGTGCATTATCTTGGGGACTCGACCAGACCAAATTTCCACAAGACTATGACTTTGTCATTGGGGCAGATATTGTGTATCTGAAGGAGACCTATGACCACCTTCTCCAAACATTGCAGCACCTCTGTTGTCCCAGAACCACCATATTCCTCTCTTCCAAAATGCGGACAGAGCATGGTACTGTGGACTTTTTCCAGGATGTCCTGCCCAAGCATTTTAATGTGGCGCTTGTTCAGAGAAATGTTGAGGATAACATCAACATCTACAGTGTTAGCCAGTATCAGAACTGAAAGTGACCATTTTTAAACATACACTTCCTTATATTGCATTCCAGAAAATGAAAGTATGCCCAATAATGTGAAACCCGGCTATAGCTTTAAAGCTGAACTCTGAGCAGATATAGACAAACACCATGATGAAATCATTCATGTGAAATACATTTAACTACCATAAGTACAATTCTCTGACTGTGACCCCCTGTAAAGTAGAAATCAGACTGACCAATGGAGAGGCAAAATGAAGAGTTATTCAGCAAACTTCTCTAGCATTTTAGACTACATTCAAGCTTTGCGTTTTGGGATTCCTGCAGCAGGAATTCCTACAAATCTCCCATTTAGATGAGGCCGCTGTAACCCATTCAGGCCGCATCTGTAAGCAGCAGTCCTTGTGATACGATTACATACGGTTTGGAATCAATCACTATCCTTGGACGCATTTTCTTTGTCCAATCAGCAGGCTGGTGACCCAGCTTTATTGTCCAACTGCAGAAAAATGTGGTCGCCAACCTAGCTGTGCTTTCTGAAAAGCAATGGAACAGAAGTAGAAATATTTTGGTGGGTAAGATGGTTCACATATATGTATTTCAAATGTGGATGTAATTGTTTACTTGGATTCCACCTTTAATGCTTTTTCTGCAGATATGAAGGGTTCTCCAATATTTGGAAAGGAAGATGGTTTTTAAGGGAATATTTTTAGATGTTTTAGGACACATTTTAAGGTTTACTTCTTATTTTTTAAATGTATATGGGCCTATTCATAAGACATTGCACAGAACTGCGCTGATGATCGGTAAACCTGTAGCAACCAATCTGATTTCAGTTTAGGGCAGACAGGCCAGGAAAAGATGAACGAGATTTGCTGGGGTTCCCTGTGTCATACGGATTAGTCTAAAGCAGGAGTAGCCAATCTCCAGCCCTCCAGCTGTGGTGGACTACAAATCCCATGAGGCATTGCAAGATCGCAGTCGCAGACATGACTCCCGAAGAGAGATGCATCTTGGGATTTGTAGTTTCACCACAGCTGGAGGACCAGAGTTTGGCTACCCCTGGTCTAAAGTAAAGGTGAGAACCCATTTCAGTGAACAGATACAGTGACAGCATTGCCAAATGTGGGGTACCAGACCCAGTTTATATCATCCCTGTGGGATGAATATTCAATCTGTGTAACCCCATCAGAATATCACTTTGGACTAAGTGTTGTAAGCTGTATTCCCATCCTCCCGGCACAAACTAGGAGAGCCATTTCTTTATACATATGGTACTTTTATATGTCAGGAATTTTTCGATGATACCTTGTATTTTTCAGCAAAAAAAATGGGCTGAAAAACTCGGCTTATACTCGAGTATATACGGTAAAATGAACATTTATATGGAAAAAAATAATTTTTTTAAGGAAATGATTGTTATTGCCCACAAAATACCAAATCGTTTTATAATGTTCAGATGTACAGCTATTTTTACAGAGCCGAATATGAAGACATGTATGTCCATTTAAATACTTTAATGTTTTTAATGAGTAAAAAATAAATTACTGTATCACGGTAAGAGTGTCATGTGTTCTCTTTCTAAGTGGACAGAAGCTGGTATTTGTGCATAATGTCACCGCTTGCACTACAGCATACTTAAATATGGTATTTCATATGAAACTGCGCAAAGCCATTTATTGTTTGGAGTGGCATAGATCAATACTCCGATAAAAAGGTTTACAATTAAAAAAAAAAAAAACGCCAAAAGGGTCAGACTCTATGGACCACTTGGTCTTTTTCTTTCTGTGGAAAGCTTAAGATAGCGTGTGTAGGTAAGTAGATGTAAATATATATCTTCAGACTGCTCAGGTAAGGGAACACACGTATCTATCGTTGGTGGCTACTTCATTAAAATGTGGAGCAGATAATGCTAAAAATCACTGGGATGATATCCGATCAAAGGAGAACTCTGGTTAAAATGTTTTTTAACCCTTGCAGTGGGGCTAACCCCTCACTCAGGGCCGGATTTACTCTCTGTACTGCCCTAAGGCCAGGTTCCTCAATGTGCCCCCTTACCCACCAACCCCCCATGGAGAATGGCAGACCTGCAGGCTACATACAAGTGATCTCGGTGACATCGCCGAGATCACTTGTACAAAACAAGCGGCTGCTTCCCCGCTGTACATTTAGCTCTGCTTGCCCAAAGCAGGGCTAAATGTAGAAAACAACTACCCGTTCGGCACCCGGAATTGCAGGCGTCGGGGGGATAGGAATTCCACACCCCTGCTGCCCCTCTACTCCCTTGGTTGGCCCTGTGGGAAATCCAGCTCTGCCCTCACTGCAAGGGTTAAGTGCTTGTCTAGGGTTAAAAATAAAAAGGCCATACTTACCTGATCCTCTGAGCTGGCTTGCTCTTAGATCGGTCTTTCCAGCATCTCTCCCCCTCCGCTGCAGCAGTCTAAGGTCCTAGAGTCTTCACATTCTATACACTGTGTGAAGGACATGAGTACAGCTGGGACATTTCATCGCTGCAGTGGAGGAGGAGACAGCCTGGAGGGAGTGCTGTCACAGCTGGCCATCTAGGAGGTTCGGGTGAGTATAACTTTATTTTTGAACCTAGGCAAAAACGAGCACTTAACCCTTGCAGGGTTAAAGAAGCAAAAAAAAAAGCTCATTATTGGGGTTTGCATCATGTTACTAGTCTCTTGTTTATGTACATCTATCAACAGCTGAAAACTGACTGTTAGCAGAGGTTGTACATAGATAACAGATGGAAATAGATAGCAGCAGCATTACTGTATGTAAAGCAAAGCTTCCTATTGAAGAAAACCATAAATATTAAAGATAAACCCACCAATTTTTAGCCAGAAATATTTATAGTAGACATATAAGAATGAAAATTACTATTACTGATGTTTTTAAAGCTGCAGGTAGCAGAACCACCATTCTGTAGGTGACTCTTTTGAAACCTACTCTGTAGAATTGATGCATGTGCAATAGGCAAGATGAAATGATCATGCAGTGTGTGCAATAACTCCTAGTAACAAGACAGAAGATGAATTTTGATTGGCTTTGGGTTACTCCACAAACTGCTATGTCACATATGCTTGATAGATTTATTTTGCTTCAGGAAATACCCTTCAGTCACTGCAATGTCAACGATTAACTATAAAGAACCCCAGGATTTTTTTTAACAATTAGCCCTTGCAATGGGTCTACCTCCACACTGCACGGGTTAAGTGCTCATTTTGTCTAGGGGGTGAAAATTTTAAAAAGAAATACACACCAGATCCTCGGTCCTGCCTGGCTGCTACAGCAGTCCCCGCAGCCTCTTACACCCCCCGGACTCTAAGAACCCATGATGTCACAGTCCATTAGATGTGAGGACACTGAGCGACATACCACTGCAGAAGTGTAGGGGGAGAGGTGAGCACTGACCGCTGTAGGACCAAAGATGGGGTACCTCTTCTTTATTTTCGCTCCTAGACCAAAACGAGCACTTAACCCATGCAGTGTTTTGTGAAGCCCCGTTGCAAGGGTTCTTTTTAAAAAAATCTTGGAGTTCTATAAAACAGCCATCGCATTTCCTCATTAACAGAGAACTCTAGTAGTGAGAGAGCGCGTACACACACATACAAATACTGTATATCTTTTTCTTCCTAACAGTGCAGTATCAGGTATGAATACTTATAATTAGGGTTGCACAGATACCAAGTACAATACTCGGTACAAGTACGAGTACATGTACCGATACTTTTGAGCTCCAAGACTACACTAGAGAAAAATTCAAAAGTAAGGAGTCAGCTGTCATTTGTAAGGAGCACACGGAGCTCCTGGGATTAGTACATCTCTGTTTTAATGTACGATTTTGTTTTTATAAAAATAAATAAAGGGATGCACAGATACCAGTTTTGCGAGTACGAGTACTGGTACTTGCCAAGTACTTACAAGTATGAGTACTGATACATTTTTGTTTATTGTCATGTGACAGTTTTTCTAAAACAATAAATCGACTAATGATTTCAGGACAGTAGGGGAGTGCCAGAGCCAGGTCCCAGCTGCAACCGCTGCAACCCTGGTAGTGCTCATGAAAATGCCAAGTATCTGCACTGGTACTCGAAAAGTATCTGTGCATCCCTACTTATAATAACACATTGGCCTTCAGTGCGGTGGAAAGAACAATGCCCCATCTCACACTTCCTTTTCCTGTTACCCTTACCTTGACACTAACCAGCGGCATTTTGTTTTCATACACTCCTCCATCGCATCAGGATCTTCAGAGCAAAAACCTTCCTGTACAGAAAGACAGTTGTGCTGTAGACCTCCTGCTTCTACCCCCTACACCTCTGCAGGAACAGCTCACGTATACCGTGTTTCCTCAAAAATAAGACACTGTCTTATATTTTTTTTGGCTCAAAAAAACACACCAGGTCTTATTTTTGGGGTAGGTCTTATTTTATGTTTTTTAAAGTATAACAATCCAAAGTTAATGCAAATCCAAATTAAATAATCCAAAATGGCAAAGTTAAGAATAGGGTGATCAGGGCAATCAGGGGTGCCATACCTTTCCAAGAGCAATTTGGTAACCAAAATGAGCGAAGCGCACTTTCTCTATGGATTCCTCACAGGCGGAGTGCCTTTGGTATCACTCCGCCTGTGACATGAGATGGCGCTATAGAGGAAACATCGGCTTATGCGGCTCTGCTCCCTCCGCTGCCACCTCGCTTCCTCTAGAGCCGGCTTCGCTGGCACCGCTGATTCTCTCCCGCAGCTCTTCAAGTTCCCCCTTATGCCACCACCGGCCCTGGGAATGGTCACAACTAGGTCTTATTTTCGGGGTAGGTCTTATATTTTAGCAATTCCCCAAAATGGTGCTAGGTCTTATTTTCGGGGAAACAGAGTAATAGGGATCTGTTGTTCATTGTTATCAACAGGCAGTAGATGACTATTAAGGTGATCTGTTGCTGTAATGGTGAACAGCATAGAGCGGATCTGACTGCTCAGAGATGGCCACCAGACATTACAGAATTCTCTCTACAAATACAACACGAATGCTCTGTGTTACAGTGAATGGCTCTTTTGGAGCAAACCCTTCACAGATGCATACTTTCCTTAGTCCAACAGCTGTGGTTCCATGGTTTGTTTACAAAGCTTTGCACATTACAGTCCCATGGATTTTTATGGCTCTGGCCTTGAGACACAGCCCCATGGATTTCTATGGATCTGGCCTTGGGACTCAGCCCATTGAAGTATACAGTATAGGCCGGGCATTAATGCACAGGTGAATACTTGTGCCACTGACTGTAAACAAACAGTGGAACCATGATGACCAAGGTACGTATGCATCTGTGGAGGGTGGGTTAGGTCAGGAAAAGGGGGCAATAAAGTTCACTTTATTTCCAAGTGCACTTATCCTGTAAATGAGATGTAAACCCTATATGTGCAAACATAATCAGGGTTGCACATGTTGGTGCAGTGATGGTGAGTGCATTGCGCATGTCCATGTCATGGTAGTTTACAATGGTGCTATAACACAACATATAGATGTGCCTGCATAATCTAAGCATGTACGCCGGTCTGCGCATGCGTGAAGCGCATGCGTGAAGTGCGCATTTCGGCGTCAGCCAATCAAGATGGCCAGAGATCCCTGACCCGGAAAAGGACTGTGTAAAGCTTTCGGTGTTCTATCGAAATGGCCAACCCATCGAAATCTCTAATACGTCACTTCTGGTTATTAGAACGATTGGAAGAGGTCAGCGCCGTCGAGGGAGCGATGGGAGGTGAATTTAGTTCCGCGATTGCTATTGGTGCTAGTTGCAGGACGTCATCTGTCTGCGACCCTGTCTTTCATCGTGGAAAAGCATGACTGCTGTGTCAGGGATGCTGCGCTGCAAGGTTAGTCATGACATTGTGTGTGCGAGGTGATCATTACCGTTTATATTATGTGTGTTGTGTTCGCGGGTTTCTGCTTCCTTCCATTCCCTGCTAAAGGGTAAAATGAGTCATGTGTGATAATTCTTCCCCTAGCAGCTCATCTCATGGCAACCGGCCGGGCTCTTCCACACATGTACAAGGCTGGCCGCAGACAAGAATGTTCTGGTAAAGCTCAGGAAGAAGACTGGCTACTCGTTCACCAACTGTAAGAAAGCCTTGGACAAGTTCAGCAATGACATAAAGCAGGTAATGGCTGCTCTCAGGAGGTGTGGATGGGAAAGCAAGTTAAGAAAAAAGCCTATACACCATTGACAACAAACCCAGCTAAACATCTTCCCAATGAAAGCAAACTGACCTCTTCAAACCTAAAGTGTAGTTCCTCTTTTGCAGTCAAAGTTGAGAACCCCCATTATATGTTTGTTATGCTTTCCTATTCACAAATCATTCCTAAAATTAGTAAACACATTCTTCCCTTCCTAGTTATTTATTTGCAGCAGGATTATATATAGGGTACTACAGGCAGCTTCTACGGCTTAAAGAAAAACTCTGGGGAAAAAACTATTCTTAACTCTTGCAGTGACTCTACCCATGTACTGCAAGGGTTAAGTGCTCGTTTTGATCTGGGGTGTAAAGTTATTCTCTCCTGAACCTCGGCGCTGGCTTGCTGTTTGAGCGCTCCCTCCAGATTGTCTCCTTTGGTACAACGATAGAATGTTCTTCAGTGTCCTCATGTCCTTTTACACAGTGTATTGGATGTGATAACTCTAGGATCCTTAGACCACTGGAGCGGAAGGGGAGAGAGAGAGGCTGGAAGGACCGGTCTAAGGGTCAGCCTTCTCCAAGGTTCAGGCGAGTTTAACTTTTAATTTTCCACCCTAGATCAGGGATGTCCAAACTGCGGCCCTCCAGCTGTGGTGGAACTCTGCATCCCATGAGGCTTTGCAGGATTCTCACAGCCACAGACATGACTCCCGGAGAGAGCTGCTTCATGGGATTTGTAGTTTCACCACAGCTGGAGGGCCTGAGTTTGGACATCCCTGCCCTAGATGAAAACGAGCACTAAGAATAATTTTTCCTGGTTAATGATGAGATCTGCCAGCAAAGTACAGACAGGGTTAATTATGGTAAACATCAACTCCCCAGCCACTTTTAACATAAAAAAAATAGCAGCTTTTTTATTTGCTTAAAAATCTCATCTAGCACAACATTTAAGTTATGCAATGTGAACGGGAACATGTAACAAATACAAAATAGGTGTTATACTTTAAAAGTGTATTTGCATTTTGCAGCCAAATTGGGATATCTAAAGCCAAATATGTATTCTTTCACTTTGGGAAGCTGTTCTTCACTTCATGACAAAATAGGAAGTGAGAGGAAATCTTTTTGAAGGAAGGTAAATCCTCATGTAGACAGTTTTCACTGCAGCAGGTGTCCCCACTGGAAGGTTTCCTGTTGTGGTGGTGACAAAGTGTAGATCTTCCCTCACTTTCAGTGACAGTGTCCGAACAAAGGGGTGAGTCTCCCCAGTGGGCACAAAAAAAAAACAACCTGACAGATGTCGTAAGTCTTCCCTTCTTTATCCAAAATGAAAAAAAATTGTTCAAGGGTCACACTTTCATTTTGATTCATAAATACCCGGTGATCTCGGCACGTGATCCCTTCACTGAATTCACTGCAGTGTTCTCACCCTACTTGGCCTGACCCTCACTTCCAATCAGCACGCTGAATCTGGAAGAAGTGCACAGAGTACCCTCTGCGATCCCTAATTTATCTATGGCGCTGCTGTGGGGTGGGTGCAGTATCTAGAAAAGGAGGTAAGTGTAATTAGCACATTACACTTGCCTCTCGCTTTTCTTTTTTTAGATTATTCTTGGAGTTCTCATTTAAAGCTTAATTACAGGCAAGCATATAAGTGTGTGTGTGTGTGTCAGCCCTCCCTGCCTGCTAGGGTAGGAGACCTTATTTTTTGTGTGTGTGCTGCAGGTAAGTAGTACAACTAGGTCTTGTTACTCCCCCATCCTGTGGCCAGAAAGGAAAGGTGAATTATAAACACTCGCTGTCGCACTGCTCTCTACTCCTCTCACACACTTTGTTAACACACAAGCTCTGCAACACAACTGATTGTATTAATGTGACTATAGAGCTTCATTTGTGTATTTGATATCTGCCTGGAGTTTGGTGCACTACCTATAAGCAAATCAGATGGCCAAAGTCGATGTATTAAAGACTCAGGTTATTCACAAAGCTGCCGAAGGCAGCCAAGTGAATAATCCACCCGAAGTGAAGTGAGCCCAACGCTGTTCGGCTATTCACTTCAGACTTGTACAGCTGATTTCAGCCGTACATCAGCTAGCTTCAGTACCTCCGTGGTACCGAGCAGAATAGAAAATCAGTGGAAAAAAGTTGGGGAAAAAAAGAAGAAAAAATGTTAAAAAAAGTAAATAAATGATACATTTAAAAAAATAATAATTTGATTAAAAAAGTGACAGCTATCCTCCACCCAACTGTTTCCTATTGGCAGCGACCTGGTAGAGTCTTCTAGCAGGTCCCGACCAATTAATAACAATTGGCCGGAGCTGGCCGTGACGTCACGGGCGGCTTCGCCAAGTTGTCATTGTTTAATTACACTTTGTCATTGTTTAAGTAACCTGGGGATGCTGATCTGTCATTGCAACTGGGCAGAGCCAGCTGTGAGATCACCGCCCAGCTGTCAGATGCGGGGCTTTCGGCCAGCTGTTCGCCACACTTAGGCTCGGTCGGGCCGAAGCATATGCCTTCGGCTCGGCTGAGCCACTCAGCCGCCTCCGGGAGCTGTACAGGCTATAGTGAATAGCCCGTACAGCAGCCCTTCGGTTCGACTGAACCGAAGGGCTCTGGCGGCCGAAGCTAGCCGAAAGATCAGCCGGAGCTACGGCTGATCCTTCGGCTAGCTTTGTGAATAACCCTCTTTGTTCTAGTCTTAAAACTCTTTGTTCTAGTCTTAAAAGAGAACTATGAGGTAAGTGTTTTTCCCCATAGTTCTCTTTAGTGTCAGTGGAGGACAAATACTAACCTCCTACCCTTGATCGAAAGCTCAGTATATTGCGAGCTATTGCCCACGATATACTGAGAGCGCCGCAGCCGTAATGCATCCTGACAATACTGTTGAGATCCACCCTGCTGCGTGAGTGACAGCTGGCTCTGCCTATCAATGAAATTTGAATCACACTTCATAAAAGTCATTGTTTTCTCTAAGCTTATAGTGTAGTGTGTTCCACGTTTTGTTTGCCCAGCCCGCTTAACCATTCCCTCTTCTCTCCAAGGCAGAGGTCTGGCTGCATGAACAGGCCCAGAAAGAAGGATGGAGTAAAGCCTCCAAATTGCAAGGAAGAAAGACTGCAGAGGGTCTTGTAGGATTGCTGCATAAAGGCAACACTGCCGTGCTGGTGGAAGTGAGTAAATACCCAGCTTTATGCACATTGTATTGTGTATTCTGAAATTAAGAACATTGACTAGTGCTAATACACATAATATAAACTACATAGCTTGTTATATGTCTGTGAAGGTTCTCATTCATCCAAGTCATGGTATATCTGTAAAAAGTTGCCTTTTACAGATATAGCTTGTTCTAGTTCTGTTTGGTTGCTGACAGATGAAGCCATGTGTTGGCCCAAAGCAGTACTCCAGGGGATCTGTTTGTAAGCCCTGGTTCACACCTAGGCGTATTGCATATGCGCGTCTGTCGCGCGTTTTTTTTACCGAGGGCTACTTGGCTGTATCCCAATGAAAACACGCAACAAAAACGGCCCAAAGTAGTACATGTAACGTTTCAGGCGTGGGCCGTTTTGTAGCGCGTTAGGGACGGGCTGAAATACGCCAAGGTGGGAACGAGACCATTGAATACAATGGGATTTAGATGTTTGAGCATTTTGTAGAGCGTTCGTCGAGCGTAGAACGCGCTACAAAACGTTCAGGTGTGAACGAGGGCTAGTGTTTTAACCCAAAACTTATGCAACATTCACAATATAAATAGAGAAATAGCTCAAAATGTATTATAACGGACCTTTTACCCATATCTTTAAAATAACAACAAACGCCCCTTTAGAAATGTTTATTAATAACAATCTACAAACACATACTTATAGATGATTGCAGGCTTTGTATTCTTTGCATACATTATTTCTCTTTTCTTCCCCAGTCTTCTGATAGTGGCCATGTTAACTAAGGGCAGATTACTAGCTCTCCTTTCACTTCCTGGATTTCTGGCACATGTGACTAGGACATGTGATCATGCACATCATCTCAGGGAGGAAAATGCTTTTCCCTGAGGTCTCATGAGATTTCCCAGCAATGCATTACTGATGTAGCTTTCCCAGGATGCAATGCTTTAGCACATTACATCATTTGTGCCAGAAGTGGACCATGAAGTAGATTAACTATATTTGTAAGTAAATGAAAAACATGTTTGTTTAACTAATACATGTAAGATGATTTTAAATCGGCATGCAGAGCTGCATACTGATAGGAATTGTTTATTTAATTTTTTAGTGGGGTAAAGGTCCATTTTTAAAAGAAAATAAAAGCTTTTATTGCAATACTTAGTTCCTTTAACCCACCACTAGGCAGGGCTCCTCTACCATGTTAAATGATGACTATCATCATCAGGGCTTGAAAAATCCACTCGTCTGCTCGTCCATGACGAGAGCCCGACGGGCAACTGTGTAATTACACGGCCGGCCGGGAGCTTTACATTCAAGCGATCAAGCACCTCGAGATGCCCGATCGCTTGTATTACCAGCAGCTGTCACTGCCTTTGCCGGTACCGAGATCCGCTGTGCCTGATGCGGCCGGGACCGGCACGGCTCGGTGATAGGAGGTCAAAGGGAGATCAGTACACGAACTCCCATTGATCTACTCTTCAGTCCCGGAATGCAGAAAGTGATGTATATTACATCACTTCCTGCATTCAGTGTCACTCTCCAGCTACAGAAGCTGATGAAGCAGATCTCTGCTTCATCAGCTTCTCTGGGGGTCCCTAGGTGACATTATGGGTCTTGGAGACCCCTGGTGTCTTCATAAAGAGGACCTGTCATGTAAATTCTTAGCCCCCCCCATGTGATGGCAATAAAGTTGTGTAAAAAAAAAAAGTAATAAAAATTAAAGAATCAAAAGAAATAAAGAAGTATTAAAAAAAGAAAAATAATTTTCTTTAGTCCTCCGCCCCCCACATACACATGCAGATATGCGTCAGGTGCGCCTACATGCGAAAACAATGATTGCGCCTATTGTGCCGCACATGTTACATATAACCGCGAATGTCGGAGTGAGAGCAATAATTCTAGGGCCATTAATTACTGATAACACTAAACTGATGAGCGGTAAAAGCGTTTTAAGCGTCGCCTATGGCCAATTTTCAGTGTGGTCATTTTTTGCGATATTGCGGGCGCACGCAATTTTAAGGCTTGACATGTTTGGTGTCTATTTACCCGACGTGACCCCGTCTTTTATGTTTTACTAAAAATATGGGTGAGAATAGATGTTTTATAACATAACATGGGGGGGGTTCGGGGGGGATGTATTCGAAATTTACGGTACTTTTTTCATTATATAGTAAAAAATAACACCCCCTCCCCTACTGGTGATTATATACCTCCAAAAGAAACCTCTATCTGTCCCCAAAAAATGTTAACATAAGTTGCAAGGCTATAGTCCGGTCATGCTGACTGGTGACATTTTTGACTGACTGGTGAAACACCCTCAAATTTTTGAAGCCCTGATCATCATTCAGTCCACTGAGCCCAGGCTTTTGTGGACACATTCCCCGTGGATGTGCATCATCATGGCGGCCTGAGCTTACAGTACTGTAATACAGTATGTTTATACGTAATTACGTAAGCAGCATTCTGTGCTTCATTAAGGACCACTGACACCACATGAGACGAGGAAGGACCTGTAACATCATCACATCGGCCGGAAGATATATAAGGGGACAGTGCGAGAGTTAAAAGTGTCCATGTGCTTTATCTTTTGGAGGTTTGACTGAAGAATCCTCTGCTCCACCTTTAATGTTCTTAGACAAAAGACGTGCGACCGTACAGTAGAAACGGTCGCACGCCTTCATTCACACTGCTCGATTCTCGTACGATCGTGGGATTTCCCGCGATTCTCGTACGAGAATCGAGCAGTGTATGGGCACCTTTAAGGAATATTTAGGGGATTAAAAGCGGAATATTCATAATGGCCTTGTGGGAGAAGGTGGAGGCACACATTGCCAATGATGGGCATTTTGATTCATCAATGATCACACAAAAGATTGATCTTAAACATTGTGTACCAGATACATTTTTTGCATATAAGATAACTTTTCCTAATGCTCTTTCTTGATTTAAATAGCAACCATGCAGTCAGAAGAACCAGGCTGTTACCTGCTTGATTACCGTTACAATCTGTTCTAACACACTTAAGAGAACTACAAGAATTGCTATTGACTTTTTCAGGTGAATTGTGAAACGGACTTTGTTGCCAAGAATGTGAAGTTTCAGCAGTTGGTCCAGCAGGTGGCAGTGTCAACACTAAAGCATTGCCAAAGTACAGAGGGAGACCAGTCCTCACACTTGAAGGTGAGTTCTTAGGTACTTTACATTACAGGGAGCTTATAGGTACAGATATATGCGGGCTGTTATTGCCACCTTATGTTAGAAGATGTAAATTCTGGGGCTGTCATCATTTATCCTTTCACTGCTTTGTAAGCCACTGACCCAGAATAAGTATGACCCAGGACCCAGTGACATAACTAAGCCCCTCTCAGCTCTAGCAACTGTTTTTAATCAGTTTTTTTTACAGTTCAGCTGTTTGCCAATGCATTTGTTATAATATATGATTGATTATATAAATATATACACACGCACACACTGTACAGGCACTGGAACTCGCAGAAGTCCAAGTTCAACCTAAAGAGATGACGCAACTAAGATTTTTTTTTTTTAGCATCCCCAGCAGCCATCTGGACATAGTATATCCAGCATTAGAATTAATTTATCTGAACCAATCAAAGGTAAAAAAAATATATATTTATTTTTCTGGAGTTCCACTTTCAATAAAACCTTTTATGGTTTTTATTATTTCATCATTACTGGTTGCCTGTGCTATTCTGTGTAATTCAGGCAGATCATGACTGGTTGAAGGCTCCAGCAGGGTGCTGTACATAACTTCCTAAAATTATCACATCACCCTGCCTCAGTAGTCCTTTCCAGAGCCCTAAGCCATATTGCAAGCAGTGGACTGGCTCTTTGGAGTAGTTATGCAAATACCAAAATTCCTTAAGGGTTTAGTGGCATTCTGGAGGAAAGGGAGTTCCTAGGCAGATTGCATTAGCATGCAGACCACCCAAGGTAATGCCCATATGTAATGATGAGCCACCATCATTGAAGGGAGTGCAATACAGTGAATGAAAGGAATGAGCTATGGACAGTAACGATGGGGAGCAACTGAGAACTCCGGCTCTGTCTGACTTGCTGCAGGTTTTATTGCACAGACGCTCACAGTGTGCAGTAAAATCAGAGTGAGCAATTTCAGTATATGAGAGGAGTCTGTACAACTGCACAAGACTGAAGGTAAGGCCAGCTCAGCTTTGTGATTGACCTTTCCTAAACGATTATAGGGGCTGTCATTGCAGACCTCCTGAAATACTAGGTGCCTGGCCCTCATTGTGACCCTCTGGCTTCAGTATTTGAGTTACTACCCAGCAGGAAATAAGCAGATCAGGAAAGTTGTTGTAAAGTCAGAAGTGCTTACCTGCATACCTGTTGTAGGTTACTGACTCAAGGTATTGAATCAAGAGGGTTGGTGTGTCAACTGTTTTCATAATGAAAAGGCCACAATGGCAGCCCCCGCATTTCTCTCCCATTAAAAGAATAACATCCAACAAAGCCCAATACTAAAAGTTTATTAGATTATAAAGAAATGTTTATAAGCCTCCTTACTTTGCTTTTACATCATACTTTCTAATAACATGCACAGAGTAGTTTTACATTCATTATTATTATTATTATTATTATTATTATTATAGGGTTTCCTTGCTGGTGAAGATTTTTTACAAATGAAGACAGAAGAGTCATCATTGAAAGACCTTCTTGCTCTGACAATTGGTAAAACATTTTTTAATTTGTATTTTCTGTATGTTAGAGCAGCAAAATATGTTCTGATTTTCTAGTTCTGTGATTTTTGCTGCTTTGTCTTGTATTTTGTATTCTGCCCATTTTCTTTTTTCAATTGTTTTCTGTCTCGTGTTTTGAAGGAAAACTGGGTGAGAACATGATAATGAAGAGAGCTGCGTGGGTCACCGTCCCTTCCAACATGTTTATTGGTTCATACATGCATGGGTCCCTACCTGCAGACATGCCTTTCTTGGCTAATATGGCATTTGGGAAGTATGGAGCCTTGGCTATATGCAAGCCAAATAACTGCAAAACCAACGTGACTGAATTGGGACGTAGACTTGGCCAACATGTGGTGGGTATGAGCCCATCGAGCCTGGGTTCTCTAGAAGATGAATCTGCTGGAGAGACAGAAACCAGGATGTTGGCCCAGCCTTTTCTACTGGAGCCCAGCCAAACCGTAGGACAGTATCTGCAGGCATACGATGTACAAGTGCTGGATTTTGTGCGCTTTGAGTGTGGGGAGGAAGTGCAGACCACGTCGTAGTGAATCAAAACATAGTCTTCTGCTAGGAAGTATGAACAATGTAATGTATATATTTTTTTTCCAGTGAAAAATAAATATCTTTCACTATAATGTGGCCCTCTGAGTTGGCTAGGGTTTAGTATTGTAAAGCAGTAAGCGGAGCCTACATACCTAATTACAAATTATACATAGAATCATTTATAAGATTATATACATAAAGCTCATCTCTACACATCTAGACCACCAATGTTAGGGGGGCCCTTTTCCACTGACAGCCATTTTTAGGGGGTCCTTCGCCACCGATAATTGATGTATGGGGCTGTCCGCCTCTGCTTCCTCTACTGGCCACCACTGTAAGGGAACACTCTTCACTTCTACCCCTGAATAGCCTTCGCCCTCGTTCACACCTGAACGTTTTGAAGCGCGTTCTACGCTCGGCGAACGCTCTACAAAACGCTCAAAAATATAAATCCCATTGTATTCAATGGTCTCGTTCCCTCCTTGGCGTATTTCTGCCCGTCCTTAACGCGCTACAAAACGGCCCACGCCTGAAAAGGTACATGTACTACTTTGGGCCGTTTTGTTGCGCATTTCCATTGGGACACAGCCAAGTAGCCTTCGGAAACGCGTGTTTGTCGCACAACTTTTTTACCGCGACTCGCGGTAAAAAGAAACGCGTGACGGTCGCGCATATGCAATACGCCTAGGTGTGAATGAGACCTTCAGCCCTCAATACAGCAGCTGTGTTTCACTAACTTATCCAACTCCCTTCACCAGAATCCACTATGTGATGCTTTTCTTAATAACTATTTAGCAACTTTCTACATAAACGTAATGCTTTTGCTTGCCAGTCCATAATTTCCTATGAATGTTGTGTTTCACAAATCATCCATTATTTTCTTTAGCTGGCATGTTTAGTATTAATCCTTTTTATTAATTTAAAGCCCAACTCCGGCAAAAATATTTCCTAAGTCCTTGGTCAATGGGTTTTATTTTATTTTTTAAACAGCGGTTCTTCTTCTTGCCCACAAGCTGTCCTCAGTCTTCCGAGTTGAATAATGCCCAGTGCCACTTAACCAGCAATACTGAGCGCTCTGTAAATACAGGGTGCGCCATGGGGCAGCAAGTGTCCACGTTAAAGTTCTTTTACATCAGCAATTAAGAAGTAATTTTTTCATGGCTTCAAATACCTTCTTTCCAGGGGTGACTGTACATTGAGCCCAACAGCAACTGGCTGGCGAGTGTGCTGGGAAAATGTTTTGCTTTTGTACTGTATAAAGCCCTTCCATGTGCACCTTGCTTAGAGCTGGTTACAAATTGATGAGTGCGTTTGCCATTTGTTTTGCTTGTACATTGAGCCCAACGTATCCTCAGGAGGACAGATTTGCATAACATTAATTTTTTTTCCCACTTTCATGAGACTCAGTTGGAGGTTATTCTAAACTGAGACTGTGGTCACATAAGTTTTGGACAGTTGAGTGACAGGTGGTTGGATTTATTGTCAGGGATTTCATTGGAGAAAAGTTGGGACTCTGTGTGCAGGCACCTGGAGACACCTGCACACGACTGATATTGTTCGTTTGTTTATGCACTTATGACAGGATAGGTTCCTTTTTCAAAATATTAATTTTATTAAACAGATGTGCTGGCATGGTGTGTATTCAACATAAGTGAAATTACAGTTTGTGGTAACTGTCTTTCTTTCTGCAAGGCTTACACACATACACACTTTATATATAAGATAACAATTTTCCGTATTACTGGCACCTTCATGTCAGCATAATAGGTATGCTGACACAAGAAAATTATGGTAAGTATAAGATACATTTCTGTATTATAATACCATAAGAATGCCATCATTTTTAATTAAAATTATTGTTATATTTTGTATAATTTGTGTTCTGGATTCAATCAGTACACACACTGAGCAATTTAAATCCCTTTACACGTAGGCAGGTTCCTCTCTAGAGTGTGCTGTCCCATAAATGATGAAAAAAAGTCAATTACTGTTTAGGCTAATTTCAGTTTTCTTCTCCTGTGACCCAGAGGTGAAAAAATGGTCATTCTTGTGGCTGAAAGCAAACCTGTAGCATGATATGTATAATGTACCAATTTGCCTTTACTAACCCCCCCCCTTTTGTCGCTTTGACATATAATCACATCATGGTTGTGAGTGATAACTGGGGCATCATGGGATATATAGACCTTATAAAACAGAGGGCATTCATAATACATGAATTTTTAACTGCCCAAAACAAGAAATCCCATGATTTTCAGGGGCCCTGGTTCACACCTGAGCAGAAAGACGCCAGCAGAAAAACACCAAACGCCTGAAAAGATACAGGAGCTTCTTTGGGCAGTTAAAAGTTCTTCTTTGCACCATAGACTTCATTGGAGCGTTTTTGCGCGTTTATACGTGCATTCTTCCATTGCCCACAATGGTGAGCTGCCAATCAAAACGTGCGTCTTCATGCATGCGCGTTAAAACACTCATTCAAATGTGCACATCGCACGAATAACCGCATGCTGTTAACACGCATATAAAGACGCAAAAACGGTGTCACCTTGGTGTAAACCTGGCCTAAATCCAGTTTCTATGAATACAATATTTTCTAGAGGTGCATCGAAATTTCAAAACCAAAACGAAGCCGAAATTAAAAAAAAAAAATGTCAGGCCGAAACAGAAACCGAAAATGTTTAAAAAATATTCAAATATTTAATTTTATTTTTTATAAACTTTTTTAAAAAAATTTATATTTTATTTTCATTTTTTTATTAAATATTTTTATTTTTTACTTTACTTTTAGGGGCTTTGTGGAAATATTGGGGGTCTAAACAGACCCCTGATATTTCCCTTTTAAAATAGAAAAAGATTTGAGGACACAGTCATCAATCACTGCAGCCCCTGTTATCAATGTACAGGAATCCTCTATACTGAGTGTTCCTGTTCATTCATAACTTGGAGATAGTATGTTTACTATAACCACAATCATGAATGAACAGGAGGTGATTTAGCTAACTTCCCATTCATTCATAATTGAGGATATAGTAACCATACCATGTCCTCATTTATCTACAAACACTCAGCAATTACTGAGTGTTTGCACTGGCTCTCCTTTCTGATAGCTGTCACCGGAGACTGGGTGGAGCGGTGAGGGGAGGAGACCTCAGCCTCTTGTGACAGCGCAGGCTGTCTCCGCCCACACACCGCTCTGCCGGACTGTGATAGGAGTCTGAGGGGTGTGGGAGGAGAGACGCCAGCCGCTCATAGCGCTGAGCCGACTGTCACACTTTCTCTCCTCCCTGCTGGGACACAGAGCAGCGGCCAGCGGGGAGGAGAGATGCACCGCTGTATCGGCAGAAAAATTGCACTTTCGGCATTTAGCCAAAAGTGCCATTTTCGGCCGATATGTTTCAGCGGCGATATATCGGTGCATTCCTAATTTTTTCGTTTGTGTTAAAGAAAGAGCTTCAGTTGATCTTAATTGTATCTAAATTGGCCACATAACAAACCTGTATTGTCATAGGAAAACCGCAACCATGACAAAAAGAAAAACAAAGTGGCACATGACCTGTCCACTGTTTACTGGCCCCAAAATTTGTCAGTATGTTCACTCCCTCTAGTCAAATTTGTCTGACATCTGGATTTCCCATTCGCAATGTATTTCCTATTCTTATAATACAGCAAATGTTACATCTACTGCTTCTGTTTTGTTTCCTTTTACAAGATGACGAAACATTGATTTTTATCAGTAATTCAGCATTTACTTTGCTGGAAGACCTGGCGTTCTCTGTCCCACTCACACATCACTGCACACGCTTCCTGGAAATAAGGCTTTTAGCCGACATGTCTGCCTTTACCTTCTAAACCTATTACCAGTAAAGATGTCAAATCCTGCACATAGCAGTGCAAATGAGATGATTCAATTTGTTTTTGTAAATGTGTTTTTTTATTTCATTTTTTTTTTTTTAAGGCTATGATTCTGTTACGCTCAAAGTATTTATATATCGGCTAACGTGACCACGTTATAATAGCTTGCCACAGCTAAACAGTTTTAAAAAAAGACAAAAATAATTTTATAAAAAGCAGCTCGGCTGCCCAGATGCTGTGGGAATCCTCAGTATCTCCTTGACATTGGTGGGGGGAAGCGCAGACCAGTATTTTCTGAGGGTTCAGGTACTAGACTAGGTTTTATACCCTGTATTGAGTTACACCTCCTCAATTTAACGGTATAACTGAAGGCAACGTTGTGCTTTTAGTTTTGGATAGAGTGGTGAAGGGTTAAAACTAGTATGGGGTTTTTATTGTTTATAGGGAGATTCCCTCTTTCTAACTGTCCTGATTACTAATGTCACCAGGAAAGAAAGTGAGGGCAAATCCATCATTTAGAGTTGCCACCAGAACAGGAATAAGGGAAATCTTCCAACAGGGATACTTGTTCCTGTGACAACTGTCTAAAGTTGGCCATACACCTATAGATTATCTGCAGAATTTTCTATGGTCAGATAGAAAAAGTGCAACAGATTCCTCCATCTACACTAAACTGTGTGGATGGAGGAATCTCCCACTGGGCCAAGCTGCAGTATCTTGCTAGTCAGCACCACTGGCTCTCAAAATACCTGAACAATGCCTGCATCCAATCAGATTGTTCAGTTATTTTAACAGCCAGCGGTGCTGACTAGCAGGATACTGAAGCTTGGCCCGGTGGGAGATTCCTCCATCCACACAGCTTAGCGTAGATGGAGGAATCTGTTGCGCTTTTTCCATCTGACCACAGAAAATCTGCAGATAATCTATAGGTGTATGGTCCGCTTAAGATGGGATTTTCCCCACATTGCAAAGATATTCTCTCACTTCCTGTTGAGTCTACAGGGCAGGAAGTGAAGGGAAATCTCCCTAACGAGATAGATATGGCAAAACCTACTGATCGCAGTTTTAATTCCTCTAATCTCTTTTGAAAATGGAAAAAAAGTTTTGGCTTTACGTAAACGTTAAGTTAGCATGTGTTCATGCAATGAATGATGAATTACGTCTTTACATGTGTGATACGTAGCGATACAATGGGGGGGGGGGGTATTTATCAAAACTAGAGCAGCAGTGCATGGCAACCAATAAGCTTCTCTCTTCAGTTTGCTCAGTTAAGATTTAAAATGAAAAAATGATGCTGATTGGTTGTCATCTACAGCTGCTCCAGTTTTGATAAATTCCCCTCTGTGTGTTTTTAGAAAAGTATATATCACTTAATGTATGAATGTTATATACTTGGTTTAATATCTAAAACTATTCAGCGGCTGAAAATACAATGACCATGGCAATATTTACAAAATCATATATAAATTGGTTTTGCCCCAATAAAAAGGCATTGCAAATAAACTTTATTTATCACGGAACCTTAAAAGTATCAGGCTATAAAAGTGCAACGCTTTCCTGTATATTACACATAATAAGGCAGGAGGGAATGCCCTTGATGTGTATCTAAATTGCAGGTAGTGCTTGTAGAGCATTGCTAAGCATTCTGGGAACTTTGGGGGGATAGGAAGTTCCAAATTCTGGTCAAGCAGCAGCCCAGAGCCGAGACACTGCCGTAAAAGTGTGGTAAATTGTTACATGGTGCTTTGTGTATCACAACCAATATTGTTGCAGCTCATAGAGGTATGTTTAGATTCACACCGCTTAGTTCAGTGCTGCTAGTCAATAACTCCCAAGGCTTCAACGTTGCATAATGTGGATGACCGTCTTAGAAAAATCCCATCTCCTTTTTCAGGTTCACTTGTTTCCATGCAGGTAAAGCTGAAAATTGTCCCCTAGTCATCCCAAATGCAGCAACAAAGTCATCGTCTGTGAGATAGGCCTGGAATGTAAAGACAGAAAATTACAAATGAAGTAAAAGTATCAGCAGTTTATTACGGTTGTATCAGTTTTTCTTGTGAGCGGCAGATAGTACTCAGATCATTGTCTATCCTCTCTTAGATGTATGGAGTGCAGCGGCCTGCCACTCATCTCTCTATCGTGATGTGAGGATAGGGAACACTAGACATGTATGCCAGCAAAATAAATTTGTTTCAGATTTTTTCTTTGGAGTTTCGGTTTCCGAACGCTGTTTTGTCTCATTATTCGGATTTAGATCTTTCGGAATTTCGTTTTAGTTTCAGACTGAGTTTTCTGATTGGCCATTCAGATGATCCGAAATCCCGTTAAAGAAACATTCAGAATAAGGCTTCAGCAACTAATCGATTATGATAATAGTTGCTAACTATTACCATAATCGGTTGGGGGGGGCGAGAAAGATTTTTTTTTTTAATGCAACCAATCGATTAGTTGACAAAATAATCAGGCAACTAATCGACTGAAAATATTCGTTCGCTGCAGCCCTAATTCGGATTAGTTTGCATTCTGCCTTGTACAAACAAGTTCCAATATGCTTAGAAGCATTTCTAACATCTCTTAATGGCTTGTTTTTGTCTCTCTTATAGTCTAATTGAACCCTCAAGCTTTATGACTGCAATGCAGCCAGGCTGCATATTCATTAATAAATCTGTACTTCTATTACAGTATTCTTACACCAAGTGCTGCAGCAAGAGATAAAATACCGTGTACTGCAGCAATTTGGAGAGTCAGACCATGGCTATCTCACTCAAAGCAGTTCTCCCAATGCCTGACACACTTCCCACCGCAGTGAACCAAGCAACAGCACTTTGACTCCCTGAGCAGCACGGTTGATTGGTTCACTGCAGGAGAGTCAACTTGCTGCTTTGTGTGAGCTAGCCGCAGTTCTGTAATACAGAGTATTTGAAACTGTAAATTATTACTGTATATGCAGCCTGTCAATAAATTACAGTGTTCAAATGTTGTCCCAGAAAACTCTGCGTGACATTGTTAAACACTAGAAGGTGTCCTGTGTGGTCAGGAAATATTGCTTTCAGTATTGTACTGTAAGTAACGTCACATTTTTGCGTGCAACCTTGGCAACCGTTCATTTTGTAGACCATTTTCCCCCAAATCCTCATCCCCTTGTTGCTGCAGTTGGCACATGGCCTTTCCCACAGATCTGCATGGAACCTGCTACTTTAAATATGACACTAAAAGTTCCATCCTTGGTGGGATACTTGTACACAATGCTGCACATCTAATTATTTTCTTCTAAACGAGACTGGAGTTATAGCTTAACTTATACAGTGCCTGGCAAAAAAAAAAAGTCATACATTCAAAGAAATTAACGATTTATTGACGGCACACCAGAAAATATCTCACGGCACACTAGTGTGCCGCGGCACAGTGGTTGAAAAACGCTGCTCTAAACCTTTGTTGGACCACTTTGATTATGGCGCATTCACCGTGGCATCATTTCAATAAGCTTATGCAATGTCGCAACATTTATTTCCATCTAGAGTTGCATTCATTTTTCACAAAGATCTTGTAGTGATGATGGGAGAGACGAAGCACTGTGCAAAGTGTTCTCCAGCACATGCCAAAGATTCTCAATAGGGGTAGGGTATGGACTCTGTAGTGAAAATGATGTCTCATGCTCCTCTTTCACAAAATGAGCCCGATGCATCCTGGCATTGTCATGAAATATACCCGTGCCATCAGGGAAGAAAAAAGCCACTGGTAGAAAAACGTGGTCATTCAGTATATTCGGGTAGGCAGCGGACCTCATTTTTGGGGACATAACATTGCTGAACCTAGACCTGACCAGCTCTGGCAACTCCAGATCATAACACTGCCCCACAGGCTTTTAACGTTTTGGCCAGGCAGTATATATATTGTGGCAGCAGGCAGGTGGGTATGTCTGTGTTCAGGTGTACTAATAAAGTTCTTCCTCTAGGGGGAAGTGCTGAGAGGGCTGGAGGCCCGAAGGTAACAAGCCCAGCTGAAGCTAGCTGGCTTGTTAGGGCCTCTACAAGAAGTCCCAGCCTCATAAGAGAAGGGCCCCACCCGAGAACCAGACTGTGTGTCTGGTGGACTGGGGAGCAGACAGCCTGTGTGGCAAAGAAACAGCCTATGTGGCAATCTGCCTGTGTGGCAAAACAGCAGCCTATGTGGCATTCCACCTGTGTGGCCAGTGGACGTTTAGGTTAAAAGACCAACTTGAAGTCGGTGAGACTGAAAACTGTTGTTGACAGAAAACAGTTCTTTATGTTTGAGAACCCCTGTGAGGGAACACCTGTATGGACTTTTCTTTTGAATTGAGCGTTAATAAAAGTGGGCAAAGAAGCCCTTACAAAGTGAAAAGTGAGTGGCAGTGTACTGAATGTGCTACCATTTGAAGCGAATCCTCACA